CTCTAATAATAATAATAATAATAATAATTTTTTAGGGGTATCTGGGTGGTGCAGTCAGTTGAGCGTCCAACTCTTGATTTTGGCTCAGGTCATGGTCTCAAGGTTGTCGGATCCAGCCCCATGGCAGGCTCCAACTCGGCAGGACTTTGCTTGGGATTCTCTTTCCCTCTGCCCCTCCTCTCCCCCACTCCACAGAAGCATGCACACACACTCTCTCTCTTTCTCTCTCTCTAAAATAAATAAATAAATAAATCTTTAAAAAGAGAGAGATACAAAGTTCAAAGAAAAGATTATAAGGCAAAAGAAGGTGGAGAAAGGAGAATTAGAATTCCAAAATGAAACAAAAGGGAAGGATTAAAATGTCACATAGGGGGCGCCTGGGTGGCTCAGTCAGTTAAGGTCTGCCTTCAGCTCAGGTCATGATCCCAGGGTCCTGGAATCAAGTCCCACATCGGGCTCCTGGCTCAGCAAGGAGCCTACTTCTCCCTCTCCCTCTGCTGCTCCCCCTGCTTGTGCTCTCTCTCTCTCTCTCTTTCTCTCTGTCAAATAAATAAAAACATATTTTTTCAAAAAATTAGCCCCATTCAGCACCCACCAGTTGAGGCCAGTCTCCACCAGCCAAAACAGTCCAGGAATGGGGAACTGAGCCCCAGCAGAAGCCAGGATCCATTGTGAGTATCCAGACCACCAGCAAGTGAGCCAGGTTTCCCCTTGATTCATCAAGAGACCAAGAACATCTGGACTGTGCTCACCCGGGTCCCCTTCCTTCCCACAAAGCCTAAGGCTGTGGAGGTGGCCAGGGGAAAGGAGGGAGGCCCACACTGCTCCTCCGTATCCCATGTTCCATAGAGGTGAGGTGTTTTCTTACAGACCTGGGTCAAGTCCCAACACTGCTCCTTATTCAACGTCTCCCGGCCCGTTTCCTCTTCCGTGAGGTGCAGTTACCACCAGCACACCCATCATCTAACTGTTCTGGTGATGCAAGGAGACAGTGCTCCACAGGCCCAGCAGAGAGCCCGGCCAGAGGGAGATGTCCAGGAACGCCAATGCTGCCCCCTCCCCGTTTCCTCTCTGTGATGAGGGTCTAAGGACAGACCCTCTCCAGGGAATCCAGAGGCCAAGTGACACTGCATGGAGTTGCTGAGAGAGCTGCTTTGGGCCGTGAATCACCATCAGCACCACTCCCTGACCTACTTCTCCTGGCTCTGTCTCCTACAGGACATTAGGGAGGTGGGCTTCTCTCATTGCTAGGCCTGCCCAGCCTGCCTCACCAGCCCCAGATGTGCAGTTAAGCAGAACAGTGAGAACAAGCAGGTTGTCCAGGCACCCTCGCACTCGGGTCCCATCCATCTCTGGGCAGGTCTAGTCTGAGGTATTCTGAAAGTGGTCACCAAGCATCAGGGTTTCCCAGGGAAGTAAGAAAACAATTCAGGAAAATATTATATTGTCTATTGCTTGTCTACTATCCATCCCCTCTTTCCTTATTATGAAAACCCATTTTGGGGGTGCCTGGGTGATGCAGTGGGTTGAGTGGCCAGCTCTTGGTCTCAGCTCAGGTCATGATTTCAGGGTCCTGAGATCGAGCCTTGCATTGGGCTCTATGATCAGCGCAGAGGCAGCTTGTCCCTCTCCCTCCACCTCAGCCCCACCCTCTGCTCCTGCACACGCGCGCCTGTGTGTGCACTCTCTCTCTCAAATAAATAAATAAATAGAATCTTAAAAAAAAAAATTTTTTTTCCTTTCAAAGTGTCATTATGCCCAGGTAAAAATACTTGGTTGCAGCTAGGTCCAGTCTTATTACATCCTTAAGACCAAAGAGCTGCAAGTGGAAATCCCTGGAGAGAGCACTTTTTGCATAATTAAAAGGCAAAGTCTGAAGGAAAGCTTTTTGCACCTTCCAGACTGGAACATGGACAGTGAAACCTGGAGGTACAGCAGCCATCTTGTGATCACGAAGCAGCATGCATGAGGGGAAAAGCATATATACTATAGGTTACAGAGCAAAAAAAATTGAAAAGGCACTTGGTGTCATATAGCATCTCTGCGCCCCTGAACGAACCCTGAACTGCCCACCCCAGACTTCTTGTTATGCAAGACAATTAAGCACCATGGAAATAACCATGCAACTCATAGCTGAATACATTCCAAACTGGTAGAGAATTTTACATCTGAAAGTGGAGTCCTCAAGTAAAAGAATCTAAAAAATACAATTGGCTAAGTGGAGGAGGAAAGACAGAGAGATACAAGAGCCAAATACGTCCAGGCTGGAAAGCCAAAGACCCTTGTTACGAAATGACAAAATATTTGGTTGAACTGTTCATTGATGTATCTTGGGATGCAGACCAAAGAGAATCCTAAATGTAGTGATAGAGGAAGTGGTAGGAAAAGTTTAGAAAGTTAACATGAGCTGGTTCCTTGCAAGAGGGGGATGCTGCTATTACAAAAACCAAGAAGGTGCCATTGGCTTTGGGATCAGGTAATAAGTGAAAGCTAGAAGGACCTCAGGAGGTTAGCAGTAATAATTTGGAGGGTAGTGAGGAAATTGTTACTGAAGGCTGAAGAAAAGGTGACCCCTAGGGACACCTGGGTGGCACAGTCGGTTAACCGTCTGCCTTCAGCTCAGGTCGTGGTCCCAGGGTCCTGGTCCCAGGGTCCTGGGATCGAGTCCCACATCGGGCTCCCTGCTCGGCGAGGAGTCTGCTTCTCCCTCTCCCTCAGCTGCTCCCCCTACTTGTGCTCTCTGTGTCAAATAAATAAATAGAATCTTAAAAAAAGAAAGAGAAAGAAGAAAGAAAGAAAGAGAAAAAGAAAGAAAAAGAAAAAAAGAAAGAAAGAAAGAAAGAAAGAAAGAAAGAAAGAAAGAAAGAAAGAAAGAAAGAAAGAAAGAAAGAAAGGAGAAAGAAAGAAAGAAAAGACCCTAGTATGTAGTCGTGGAATGTCTGGGGACATTACAGTCTATGGTAATGGGAAAATAGAAAGCGTACCTAATGAACTCATGGATCCAGCTGAGGAGATGTTTAGATGGAATACTGAAAGTGCCTACTTCTTCTGATGCCCATGATAAAACAGGAGAAGAAAGAGATGACCTAAGAAGGAACTGCTCAGGTTTTTTAATATAATATAGAAATATAGATGGCCCAGAACAGTCTTTACAGCCAGCACATGGCTCTCAAAGTAATAAATGGCTTCAGGGCAAAGGTCAAATCCAGGGCCTTGCCAATAGAGAGGGACTCCGGGTAAAAACAAAGTCAAAGGTAGAGACTTGGAAAGATTTAAAGGCAAGTCTCACAGATCTCAGATAAGCAAGTTGGCTTCTAACAATTTTGGAAGTGTGCCTCTCAGATGCTTTCAGACAAGAGGGCCTTTCTCCCAGCTCCCTGATTCTCAGTCTAAGGTAGGGAGGGGCCGGTCTCAGAGAGATTTCTAAGTGTGGCATTAGTCTAATTAAGTGAATTATAAGTTGATACACAGGAAGCCCACAACATTTTTTTTTAAAGATTTTATTTATTTATTTGACAGAGAGACAGCGAGAGAGGGAACACAAGCGGGGGGAGAGGGAGAAGCAGGCTTCCCGCTGAGCAGGGAGCCTGACGTGGGGCTCTATCCCAGGACTCTGGGATCATGACTTGAGCCAAAGGCAGACGCTTAATGACTGAGCCACCCAGGCGCCCCTAGCCCACAACATTTTTAAAGGAATTACATAATCCTGGGCTGAAAGGGATAGAGACAGTTCAAACAAAAGAAGCTTTGGGTTGTCAACTTCCTTTGGGCAGGGGGCAGCTGAGAAACCTACAAACACAGACATTCCTTATAGAAAATAAAGAGTTAAAGAGAATGAAACCAACAGCCTAGAGCATGGACCCAAGAAGAACCACTTATAGGGAGCAGAACTGGGCCCTAATCAAGAATCTGGTGGCATGTGTCTGACTCAATTTCAGAATTGCTATGGACCAATGACACTTTTGTGCCTTTGATCCACCACCACCCCTTTCTGACTAGGAGTGTTTATTATCTGTCTGTCTCACTTTTGTGCATTGAATGTATTGTTCATAGATCTTCAGGTCAAGGGAATTGTTCTTGAGGAGCTGATTAGGGCCTGACATAGATAACAAGACCCTGGACCCCACGTTGATGCCTTAACAGGGTGAAACATGGTGGGTCTTGGGAAGGAGGTGACTACATTCTGCACATGGTTGCTAGAAGTCAGACTATGGTATACAGTCTCCCAAGATGGCCACGTCAGTTTTGTGCTACTGCTCCTCACATGAACAGATGGAGCCTAATTCTCTTCCCCTTGAATCTGGGCCAGCCTGATGATTTGCTTGATCAATAGAATGCAGCAGAAGTGATGTTCTTGGATTGCTGAGGTAAATCCTAAGAAGCCTCACAGCCCCCATTGGGACCCCTTGGGATGCTCACTTGGGGGATCCTCCCTATCAGAACCTAGCTGCCATGCTCTGAGAAGCCCAAGCTACATAGAGAGGTAATAGGTAGGCATTCCAGACGAAAGTTCCAGCCGAGCTCCCAGCTTACAACTGGCACCAATTGCCAAGCATATCGAGTAAGCTACCTTGGAAGTTGAATTGATTTGAACTTTCAGATGACTCCAGCTCCAACATCCGTCTGCAACCGCATGAAAAGTCCCAAATGAGAACTTCATTGACTGACTGCAGTCTCCATACAGAAACTTGACAGATAAATCTGTTTTAATTTACCAAGTGTTGGGTGATTTGTAATGCAACAATAGGTAACCAGAACAGCATCTCTAAGTCACTGAACCAAACCTGAATTCCATACCTCAGACTTATTTTATAAGACATTTAAATGCCAATTCATTTATGCCATTCTTAGTCGGGTTTCCTGTATCTTACAACTGAATACATTCCTAACTGGTAGAGAATTTGGTAACTAAAAGTGGGATCCATTAAAGAGAGAGAGAGAGAGAATCTAACATGTGTAATTACTTGAGGAGAGGAAAGAATAAAATATGAGGACCTCACCTTTGCTGGCTGGAAAGTCAGTGACTTTGTTAGGAGGTGGCAAGGTGTTCGGGCATGTTGTCACCTGATGGACCGTAGGGTGCAGAACAGATGGCAACCTCGCTACAAGTTTAGGGAAAATGGTAGAAAAAAATCAGGATGCCGATATGAACTAGTGCCTGATAGCTTCCAACAGGAGAAGAATGAACTCAAACTGGAGCCCATCTGAAAGCAGATATCAAAAGAAATACAGCTTTGCTAAAACAGGGCCTAAAGCCGGCAACCTGATAAGAAGTCTTTACTGAGGGCGCCTGGGTGGCTCAGTCGGTTCAGCGACTGCCTTCAGCTCAGGTCATGATCCTGGAGTCCCGGGATCAAGTCCCGCATTGGGCTCCCTGCTCAGTGAGGAGCCTGCTTCTCCCTCTGACCCTCCCCCACTCTCATGTACTCTCTCTCATTCTCGCTCTCTCAAATAAATAAATAAATCTTTAAAAAAAAAAAGAAGTCTTTACTGAGCAGGTCTGCTGGGTTGGTTAGACCACCTTACGCCTCTGGAGCAGATCCTAGTACAGCTAATTGTTCACAGCACTGAATGTCAAGGTCTGTCCTTCGTTCGGAGTGTATCCTTCCTTCTTTGTTAGACTTATCTCTTTTTATGAAATGACAGTGATGGTGGATGGTATTTGCCTTTTTTAATATCTTTATTGGGAAAAAAAAAGTTAGCAAACTATCTCAAATTTTTACTGGTACTTGAAATCCCAAAGTCTGGGACTTAAGGCACAGCTCTGGCCTTGGGGAGATTTCCAGAAGAGTCAGAGCCTAGAGGGGGTAGGATCTAAGGAGGCTCTCATTTTCCAGCACCCCAACTGAGCCAGCCAGGGTATGGGGCATCACTGAGCTATTAAAATATGATCAACAGGGGCGCCTGGGTGGCTCAGATGGTTGGGCATCTGCCTTCGGCTCGGGTCATGATCCCAGGGTCCTGGGATCGGGCCCCACATCGGGCTCCCTGCTCCTTGGGAGCCTGCTTCTCCCTCTGCCTCTCTCTCTCTCTGTCTCTCATGAATAAATAAATAAAATCTTAAAAAAAATAATAAAATAAAATAAAATAAAATATGATCAACAGATAAGTTTATTGAGTACAAAGGATAGCTAGAGTCCCCGTGGGTCCAAGAGGCCCACAGCAAAGCAAGAGCTCTGCTTCAGGGCCGGTCTGGGGAGTCCTGGAAGAACTCATTGCACATGATAGTGACAAGAGCCAGAAAAACAGCATACTCCTGGAAGTCCACCTGCTGGTCACTGTTCTCATCCAGATTGCCCATCAGCTTCTTCAGGCCCTCCTCATCCACCTTCTCCTGAAAGTGAAAAAGAATGGTTCAGCAGGCTGCTCTCCACCCACCCCCACACCAATCACACACCTACTGGTCAGAGCCTAGCCCTCACTCCGCACTGGGCAGTGGGTACGTGGTGGGCAGGGACCTCCTGGGAGCTACAGAGAGGCTCTGGGAATGAGGACAGGTAGACGTTCACTGGGGAGGGTCTCCAGCTGTCCCTGCTGGGAGTGAGGAGCACCCAGGTACTCCCTGAGCCCAACAAGGTGGGCATCACTACCCCCACTGTGCTGATGAACAAATTAAAAATTTCTGAATTCAGAAAAGGCAAACTTTTTAATACCAGCCAAAATGAAACCAAATTAGAAAAGCTTAACCAAAAAAAAATTTTTTAAAGGAATAAAGGACATGCCCCATAAGTTCAAAGCCTGAGAACTGACTTTGAATTCTTCAGGAGTCAATATGAGGCAGGTGAGGGGCAAACTGAAAGTTGACTGCATTTTTCTGCCAACTGTCCCAGGGCGCATGTGTTAGCTGGGCTCTTCTCTCCCTACATACCTTCTTAGTTTGGCATATAACATGGAAACTAAGAGCGAGAGAGCTGTGTGCTCTTGGGCAGTCACTTCCCCTCTCTGGGCTTTGGTTTGCTCAACTCAGTGAGGGGATCGGACAGATGGACGCTGAGGGCCCTGACAGCCATCCATCCTCTGGAGAGCCGCAGGGGCGGCAGTGACAGGGCACTCACACGTGGGTGGGCCTCGGCCCCCTCTGTGAGGCTGCGCCCTGTGTCTGCATCAGCAGGCAGCCCCCACACATACATCAGGACCCTCCCACCCCAACCAGCCCCACTCACCCCAACAAAGCTGGGCAGCTCCTTGTGCAGAAGGGCCTTCATCTCCCCCTTACTCAGCTTGAACTTGTCACCCTCTTGGCCAGAGTACTTGTGGAAGGTGGTGACCATCACAGCCAGTGCCTGCTCCAGGGGACTGGACATCTTGGATCTGGGGCCACAGGGGTGGCAGGTGATGGAGACACTTCATCCCAGCCCGCAGGACACTCTGCCCTTGTGCCCCAAAGTGCCTCTCCAAACCCCCCTCTGCATCTCCCGAGACTATTCCTCCCTGAGGAGTCATCTCCCCCATAGACGAGGGACCCCCAAGGCCAGAGAAGTATCCTTGGGCAAGTATGTTTCCTCCACTGGACTAAGGACTCTCAGAGGATAGGGATGAATCTTCCCTCCCAGTAGAGACCTCTGAGCCGGGAGGGGGAGAGGGGTACTGTCTCTATCAGACAGGTGAAGGCCACTGAGCAACCCTCCCCACCAGGAAGGATCCTACTGAGATTGGTACTAAAGGAATTACATGTCCTGGGTCCTGGGAACAGCAGGACAGAACTCAGAGGCCATCTTTTCCACGGCTCTGCCTCTGAGAATGCTCTGAGCAGCCCCGGGATGCTTAGGGGGGAGTCCTGGGGTAAGGCCTCAGTACCTGGTGTCAGGGGCAAGTAAAGTTCTGGGCCCATCCGCTAGCTCTGCCTTCTCAAGGGGGAGGAGATGGGAAGCGGCAAAGGGCAGGGCATTATGCAGCTATGCAGGGCAGGGACCCAGGCAGGCCCACGCACTTGAGATCCCTGGCTCTTGTCCCTTAGTCCTGCTAGAATCCAGGACTTTGCAAAAACAAAAACCAAACTCAAGACTCTTGTTAAAGCACCACCCTCCACACCTCATATTCCTAGGCCTAGGCCCCCAAGAAGGGTCTCTAGATTGAGATGCCTAGACTGTGAGACCCAAGAGAAGGTCTCAGAGCAACCCCTAAACTAAGACCTCACAGAGGAGCCTGGAAAAAACTCTCAGTCGGACACTTCACACAAGGTCCCCCAAAGGGAGAGACCCAGAATGAGGAAACTATAGAGACAAAGATTAAGAAAGAAGAATAAGGCAGAGACCCCTGGGGTCCCCCCACCCAGCCCTCAGAAGACTGAGGCACTCACCAGACCAGATGACAGAGGCTCTGGAAGGAAAGCAAAGGGCCAGGCTCCCACACTGGGGTTTATATGCCTGCCCCACTGGCCCCCAGCCTGGCATTTTAAGGAAATCAAACCTGCCCCAACCTGATCCCGCTGAAGCCTGGCCTCCTGCCACCCCCACCCACTCCCTGCCAGCCCCCACCCCAGACTCTGCCGCCCCCCCTCCCCCCCACCGACTCTGCCAGCCCCACCACCAGCTGGACGAGAAGGCCCCACCGACGCCGCGGAGGGGAGTGGGAGGTGTCATGGGGAAGCAGGGTAAGGGGCCGTCACCCCTGTTTGCACGACTAGAGTCTCGTGCCAGGCCTTGCTCGTTTGACACATGCCTGCGGGCCGCAGCTCATTTGTGAGTCAGAGGATACAGGCACCCAGGGACTTCCCAGGCCTGTGCGTGCGTGCGTGCGTGCGTGTGCGTGTGTGTGCGGGCGTGTGTGCGCGTGCGTGTGCGGGCGTGTGCGCGTGCGTGCGTGTGTGTGTGCGTGCATGCGTGCGTGTGGGTGCGTGTGTGTGCGTGTGTGTGTGTGCGCGCGCGCACACACGCTTGCAAGCTGACTTTAGGGACTCACGGGGGGAAGCTTCGTGGCTGGCAACGGAATTCCTCTCGGTGAGGTAATGAGGGAAGCGTGTGCCTAAAAACAGCTTGAAAGGCCCCCGTGGGTAGGAAGGCATCTGGAAGGAGGCAGGGAGGCCCTGAGAGACCCTCGCAGTGGGGGCGAGCAAGTCAGTGGGAACTGTAAGGACGCCCCTGGAGGTTCGAAACGGAGAAGGGAAGGCTTGGGGGTGGGCAAGCGAGGAGGGGCTGGACAGCTCCCCCAGCGGAGGCCTGGGCTGGGGCAGGCCACAGCCATGGCCCTCCTCACCCCATCCCGCCAGGCTCCTCCCCATGCCCGGAGGAAGGCCAAACTGCAGCCACTAGGACCCAGCCCAGGGCGGGGCTTTCAGAGAAGAGCGGGCTTCATGCTGCCCCCTCCCAGGCGCCGGGGCCTACTGCTCTTTCTACCTCCACCAGTCTGGGCACCGCCCTTCCGGCCGCAAGCTCCCCTCCCCCTTCCAGAGGTCCAGCAGCTTCTTTCCCCTCCCCCAGCGCCCAGCCCTCGGTGACTCACCCACTGTTCCAGGCCCAGATGCCCGGGCAATGACTCAGCGGCGCCCGCCTCCTCCCTGGAGGCCAGGGCAGCACTTGGAAACCCCAACCCAGCCTGGGAGGAGAGGATGCTGGCACGGAGACCCTTCATGGGCCCCCGTCTGGGAGCTTTGAGTTAGACACCGCAGAGGAGCTGGGACTGAGAACTGACAGGGTCAGATGGAAGCCAGGCTGCCCTCTCCTGGGGTCACCGTGGGACTCAGGGCAGCCTGAACAGTGCAGAGGGCGTCAGGCCTCGGAGCCCCCGGTGTCCCCTCCTGTCCGAGGCACATGGACCCCTCATGCTACTGCTCCTCCCTGTCAAACCCCGTTTCATGTAGAGCTTGAAATAAAAGTCCTTCCCCCTGAGGGTAAAGCCCAATGGGTGCAACGCACTGCTTTTCGAAGCACTTCCTCCATTTTGCCTCAGGACGTGAGAGAAGGCCTCTCAGGCTCAGATATCGCAGCCGTGCCCATGGCTCCTCCACGAAGCCTGGCAGCGAGGTGCTTGGACCCTGGCCCCAGCCTACTTTCCAAGCCCCTCTACACACACCCTAACTGCCTGGCTCACCGCGTCTTGAGCACATCATGCATGCACCCGGTGCGCTGGGACCCCCTGCTTGTCCTGACCCCTGCTCCCCACATCTCTTCCTGTTGAAATCCCAGCTATCCTTCAAAGGCTGGGTAAATGCCACCTTCTTCATGGAGCCTTCCCCGGGCCCAGCCAGATTCCATCTCTACCTGCTGTGTCCCATACAAGGACTCCTTTTGTCCTTGTGCGCTAGAGCATCTGCCCTGGGCTGAATCATTCGAGTGCTTGTCTTCTCTTGCCCTCACCCCCACACGGTGAGCTCACTGGGCAGGGTCTTACTCGTTTCTGCATGAACAAAGGGTCTCACACACACCCCGTGCCAATGCAGTGGGCACTGGGGATGGTAGTTAGGAGCCAAGGGGCCTTCTGGTCTCCCAAATCACACCACGGACTCTGTTACCAAATCCTAACTTCCCCAGGTCCCAGAAGTGGCACTTAGACCCCGGGCTGGAAAACAGCTGGCAACCCCTGAGGGAACACCCGCTCTAGCCCTGGGGTCCAGGGAGGGAGGGAGCTGAGGGAGTGCCTCACCAGCAGGGATGGACAAAAGGTCAGAGACCACAGGAACAGAAGGACTGTGAAGGGAATGAGAGAGCAGAGAGAGAGCCACTGACTACCAGGGGCAGCTCCGGGAGACCTGTCCCTCGCCGGGGACTGAGGCCCCGATGGCGCCCTCAAGTGGCCATATCCCTGAGACGGGCGAAAATCACATTAGTTTGCCACTCACTCGCAGTGTGAGTCAGCAGAGCAGGAGGGCTGGACAGAATGACTCCGGCGTCCAATCCCAGTCCACATTCTCCACTTGGCCGTGAAGGCAGAGAAGCTGGGGCACAGCGGGGCCATGGGCACGTCCCTAGCAATGACTCTGCCCATGCCCAGCCTGAGAAGCTGGGTCATGGCTCTCTGTCCCCCGGGGCTGCTGGGGCCAGAGGCGTGCGGCCTAGGTGGCTGTTTCCCCGCCTGGTTCCTGCCCCCTGGTGGTTGAGACCTGTGGTTGCCAGCCAGCCCCACCTCCTCCCTGCCGCCCTGCCCGGTCCCCAGCCCGGGCCCCGCCCGGCCCCTGACTCACGAAGGCGGAGGCGGTGCTGACTCACCTCCAAGGGGCCTTCCCACACCCACACCTTCACACCTGCCTGACACAGAAGGTGTTTCCTGGACAGTGCCTGCTGAGCAGCACAAGCAGAGCTTGGAGACGGAAGCCCATGTCTAGAAGCTATTAGGAGCCTTAAGGACAGGGGCAGGAGGGAACGAGGTGGCCTGAGTGAGGGACTGAACACCGCCAAGCTCTGCCCACACACCGCTTTCCCCAGGACAATTCGGCAGAAAGAGAAATGGCCCCAGTGTTGGGGCCCCAGGTTGAAGCCCTGGCATTCCCTCTGGCTCACCATGCGACCCTGGCCAGTTGCACTGCGCCCTTGACCTACTTTTCACTACAGGAATCCCTTTTATTAGTCCTCTACCCTCCAAAATATGCTTTGAAATATTTTCTTTTGGGGCGCCTGGGTGGCTCAGTCGTTAAGCGTCTGCCTTCGGCTCAAGTCATGATCTCGGGGTCCTGGGATCGAGCCCCACATCAGGCTCCCTGTTCGGCAGGAAGCCTGCTTCTCCCTCTCCCACTCCCCCTGCTTGTGCTCCCTCTCTCGCTGTGTCTCTGTCAAATAAATAAACAAAAAATCTAAAAAATATATTTTTTTCTTTTTTTTTTTTTGCGATTTTATTTGAGAGAGAGAGAGAACACAAACTGTGGGGGATGGGCAAAGGGAGAGGGAGGAGCAGACTCCCTGCTGAGCAGGGAGCCTGAGACTTGGAGACTTGGGGCTCAGGCTCGTTCCAGAACTCCAGGATCATGACCTGAGCAGAAGGCAGACGCTTAACCGACTGAGCTACACAGGTGCCCTGCTTTGAAATATTTTCTCATAACAAACTGCATTAAATAATTTATCTAACTGCCCCCTGATTGCATGATCAGCACAGGAAAACCTACTGATATCACCGTGCAATGAGCAAATGCATTCCCAGTGCTGGGAGGCTACAAGGCTGACATTACGGCGTACCTACTGTGTGTTAAGTGATCTCTGTATGTTATTCCATTTAATTTACACAACTATCCCCGGAAGTTGGTACAATCTCACCCACTCTACAGAGGAGGAAATCGAGGCTCGGGCAAGTTTGCCCAGGTTCACAGTTAACGAGGCATGACAAACATGGGTAGTCACAATGGTAACACTCCTCTATAAGCCCCAATCCCTGCGAATCCCTGAGAGCTCTAACCTTCCCACTCAGATCGCGACGCTCTGCCATTCTCTCCCCACACCCCCACCTGGCCTCTTGGACTCCTTTCTCAACTTCACCAGGGCCTAGGGGAGCATCTCCTCCACCTGCTCTGCTCTGGCATCTTCAACCACCAGCCCCTTTCCCCTTGCCTTCCAACTGCATTCTGCCTGCATTTAAAGCAGACTTAAAAATAACCTTCCTCGGATCTTCACGTCCCTTAGTACCCCTCTCTGCCACAAATAACACCACCATCCACCTAATGACCCAAACCAGAAACTTGGCTGTCCTCCCAGCCTCCTGCTTCCCCGTCACTGCCCTCCGCCTGCCTTCTCCATGCCACTCATCTCTGTCAGACTGCCTGAGCTGCCGCCGTCCCTGTGCCCCTGGGTGGTTGTAAACACAGCTGGACTCTTCTCTCACCCCAACCTTGCCCCCACTCCAACCCCTTCTCAGCTCTGCCACCAGAGTGATCTCCCTAAATCCAAATCTGAGCATGTCACCCCTCAGGTGAAAGCACCGTGATGTCTCATAACTTTGAGGAGAAGGCTACCAAACGTGACACACCTTCCTAGGCACCAACCTCACTGATGCACAGGCCACGCCTCCCATGCCTCAAAGCCCCACCTAAGCCATTCATTCTCTCCGAGAGCACTTCCTCAGTTTGTTCCCTGTCGACCTCCTAATCACCCTTTCAACTCAACTCTAAGATCATCTCTGTGCCGCACCCTGAATCTACTCCCCAGCCTCCCCACATACTAGAGCACACACACGAACATAGTTAGGTCCTCATGGACCTCACTAGCCCCCTGCCCTATAACAGCAACTTTTATGAGACTATTTCTTTATGTGTCTCCCCCACTAGACTCTGCTGCTGAGAAATAGACACTGAGTATTGG